GAAATATAATAACCTGTTTACTAGATGACTATATGCCAGAAAAAAGTAATATTTTTCTACTACTCAAACCGCTTTACTGGTTTGTTCTATGTAATATTATTACATACCAATATAGTGAGATACAGTTATTTTTATTACCTTTTTTTAAGGTGTTTGCATACTGTCAGTTTTCAGTTCCAAACTGAGAGAGTTTGGTTGCTGGGTAAATTGGAAATTTGTGGAATTTTGTGGAAATAGTTGGTTATTACTAGAGATTGTCTAAATAAGTAATTGATAATTTGAAGAAGCAGCAAATGTGGATTATTTTCCTATTTAAAACGCATTTGGTTTATGTTTCTGTATTGCAGAAGATATTTAACCCCTTAAGGACTGGACTGTTTTTGCGATGTTGTACATTTGCGACCAGGCATATTTTTACACTTTTGTGGTGTTTGTGTTTGGCTGGAATTTTCCGCTCTCTCATTTACTGTTCCCATACAAATTATATATTGTTTTTTTCAGGACAAAAGGGGCTTTCTTTACATACCATTATTTATATAATCTCATGTATTTTAAATAAAAAAAAATAAAAAAATATGATGAAAAATTGAAAAAAATACATGTTTTTTGACTTTTACTTGAAAAATCTTTTACTCATCTACAAAAGCGAATTAAAAAAACTGCTAAATAGATTCAAAATTTTGTCCTGAGTTTATTTTTTTATTATTTTAAAAAATTTTTATTTAATTTAAATTACTTATTATTTATATTTTATAATAATATATATATACAATATATATAGTTATTATATATATTATATATATACGTGTGTAATTTAATTATAAGTGTATTTTTATATTAATATAAGTACATATTAATATAAAAATACACTTAGTATGGCATTATATAGATGATATATAGACATATATTATATAGATATATTATATGTCTATATATCATATTTATATACACATATATAATTTTTTTTATTTTTAATTAACATTAACTTTATTTTTTTTTTTATTTTACACTAGCAGGGAGACTGCCTGTCAGCACAGACAGTCCCCCTGCAGGCAGCACTATGGACACCTATTGTGACCATGTGATCGCTGTGTTAAGCGATCACATGGCCACAGGGGTCCTAAATCAGTGTGGGGAGACTGTCTGGGCTGCAGGCAGTCTCCCCACAACCGGAGCAACACTGATCGCCGCCGGGGGAACGACGGCGATCAGGTAAGTACCCACAGACCGTTAGGACGGTTCAGGACCGTCATCGGTCCTCAAGGCAAAAATGCCGATGACGGTCCTGAACCGTCCTCGGTCGCTAAGGGGTTAATGTAATAACCCTGTCATATTGTGGTGAAGAATATTAAATGTTAATGCAATATGTTATGTTGAGTTGTTGCATTAATTGGGGCTAAAATCTTCTCTTATACCTTAAAAGAAATGATCGATAAAAACGTGAATAATCTTATAAAAGATACCAGTGATAAATTACTCAAAGAGTGGAGAAAAATAGGAATTTCCTGGTTGGGAAGAATAAATATCATCAAATCATATATTCTACCTCATTGGTCATACCTGTTCAGAATGATCCCTTTATCTATAATAATAACTAAATTTAGGCAGATTCATAAATTATTTCTGAATTACATATGAGATTATAAGAGGTCAAGGATCTCGATCTTACATGTAATGAAAAAGTCCAGTAAGGGTGGCCTGGCTGTCCCAAATCTTATCAAATATTACGAAGCCTCTAGGCTGTACCATCTGTGGAGATGGCAGGGCCTAACCACAATAGAAGAGCCTTGGTATAAAATTGAATCCTTTCTGTGTAATTCAAAAGATCTTTCTAATATGTTATGGATTGATGTTGGGGCTAGTGCAAAATTCATCTCCAAGATAGAAACTTCATACATAAAAGATATCTATGAAATTTGGGTAAAATACAGGAAAAGAAATCACATTTTAAATAAAATTTCTAAGTATAGTCCAATTAAGACAATGGAATATAATATTAATGACCTAAATTTAGGTAATTGGATCAAATCTGGTTCAACTAAAATAGATGATTTATTAAAATTGAATAAAACAATGTCTTTTTCATATCTTCAGTTAAGTCTTGACCTTAATTCAAGAGAGTTATTCTCATACCTAAGAATCAAAAATTATTTGGATAACCATCTGCTTTGTGACAACACTAGGATAAATAAAAAATTTAATGATCTATTTAAAAATAATACTAATCGTAAATCGATATCTAGTTGGTATGAAATACTGAGAGAGGAAGAAAAAGAGTCTAAACCAAAAGCCTGGAAAAACTGTGAACAAGAAAGTGGGTCTCCAATCGAGTTAGAGCAGTGGTATAGATCAATTCAAGAAGTTAAAAAATTGTTGCATTGTTTAAATATCATAGAGCTCCATTATAAAATTCTTCATCAATGGCATAGGGTACCAAAAATTCTAAATAGAATTAACCCTGATAATTCCAAAGTTTGTTGGAGGTGTACTTGTGCTGAAGGTAGCTCTAAACATATCTGGTGGGGATGTAAGCTTTTAAGACCTATATGGAATAAAGCATTGAGAGTTATATCAGATTTAGTGGGAGAAGATTTGGAAGATAACTTAATGGTTGCTCTTTTTCATTTTCATTTAAGAAGATTCTCAACTCAAAATAGATATCTAATAATCCAACTTATGATGGCCATAAAAATAGAAATATCAAGATATTGGCTACAGAAAAAGACTCCATCTTGGACCCAAGTGCTATCTCAGCTTAAATAACAACACGATATGGAAAGGGGAATTTCTTTTCAATATGATAGCCACTTAAGATTTGATGAGAAATGGTTACCTTGGCTATATAATCTGTTATAACTATATACCTTGTTGTGTTCTCTGTTATGAATATCCTTATATATAAAGATCACTCTAGTTCTTCCCTGTGGTACTGGATTCAGGAAAGTTATGAAGTAACCTAATTATTAAAGTTAAGACTGCCTAATCCGCTCAATCCTTTTAAATTGTGATATTTGTGTTTTTGTGTGTGAAGTTTACTCAACGGTTCATATATCCTTCTATTGTAAATCAAAGTCTATATGTCTAATTCTGAACTGTTTTTGTCTGTGATGTTACACATGTAAAATTTGCAAAAAGAATAATAAAAAAAAAAAATAAAAAATAAAAAATCTTTGAGCCAGTAACTGAATAGGTCATTATCCAGATTTCATCGTCTACTATGGAAATTATATTCTGACATGTTTGAAGCAATTTGTTTGTTACATGTATGATCACTGATGACGTTACTATCGTATAGATTACTGTTGTGACAATAAATTATATTTTTAATAATATAGTTACTGTATGTTATATTGTAAGAGGGGTTGGACAGAGGTTCTTAATATTAAATAATATTTTTTATAGTTTTAAAATATATGTAAAATATTTGTATATATATATATATATATATAGTCGTGGGAAAAAGAAAGTACACCCTCTTTGAATTCTATGGTTTTACATATTAGGACATAATAATAATAATAATAATCTGTTCCTTAGCATGTCTTAAAATTAGGTTAATGCAGCCTCAGATGAATAACAAAACACAAATAAGGAACTGCACTCGATCCCATCACTCTGAGCCGGGGTGCAACCAAACAAGGACTCAGCACCAGGTCCCACATACAGTACAATGCATTAAGTACAAAGAGGTTTAGGCACTTCACTCCTATCCTGACAACTCAAATTATGCTTAATTTCTTGTTTTATTTTTACTACAATACCAGTTTTTCACCACTAGTTGCCTCCCTAGCCACTAGTCAAACCTCAGTCTCTCTCACCTGCATAGCACGATGATCCAAATCTGCTATAAGAAGCCAGACCCTGCTAACCAAAGGGCATTTACATTAATAGTAGATGGTGTTCTGAACCTATGACTTCTGATCTTGGCTCATACTGAGAAAACCTGCTTCACTCTAAATACCATTGAATCATCCTGATCTATCCAACTAACCTGCTTTGCTTCCAGTCTGCTCTTCTCCAAGAAGCTTGGTAACAAAAGCTGATCTCCAATACCAACATGCTTTATTTCATACTGGACTTTTTTACCTTTTTACCTTTAACTAAACGTATAACTAACCTGAATTTGTTTAACCCTCATATGTTGTTTAATTCTGTCTTATTATGTTATGTTTGCCTGTAACCTATAATTTCACTTATAGGGTTTCCTTCTCTTGATTTACCTGTAATCTCATTTATGGGTTTCCCTGTCTCTTGATAACCTGCTTGGGGCATATTGTCTAACTCTTATTTCTGTTCCTCCTTTTACCTACAATTCCGCTTATAGGTTCTCCTAACTTTTACCTATAATTTTGTTTATAGGTTCTATTTCGGCCTATAATTTCGTTTATAGATTCTGCTTTTATCCAGTTATTTATAACTTGTCTGGCGCTTATTGCCTTAACTCTTTATTTTATAACACTCAATATACTTACCTGTAATCTCATTTATAGGTTCTGCTTTCCCCCTTTTTTGTCTTGCTACTCATATTATTTCTAGTCTAAAACATGTCAAAGAATTCCAATAAAGAACCCAAAGTCAACCCCGGTATAAGTCTCTTATCTGACCTGATCAGAACCATGACACCAGGGTTCAGAAACGGCAATTTATTGAAGCCCAATGTCACACAACGTTTCGACCTACACAGTCTTTGTCAGAGAAATAACACATGACATATTACACAGAGTCATGATTTATTTAACAAAAATAAAGCCAAAATGGAGAAGCCATTTGTGAAGACCTTAGTACACATTATGATTCAATAGCTTGCAGGAAAAACATGAAATACTTCTGTTCTGTATGGCTTTATCAGTATCTCACATCATTGTGGAGGAATTTTAGCCCACTCTTCTTTACAAGATTGCTTCAGTTCATTGAGGTTTGCTGAGATTTGTTTATGCAAAGCTCGACTAAGGTCCAGCCACAGCATTTCAATCGGGTTGATGTCTGGACTTTGACGGGGCCGTTGCAATACATTGATTCTCTCCTTTTTCAGCCATTCTGTTGTAGAGTTGGTGGTCATTATCCTGTAGCATTACCCAATTTTGGCCAAGCTTTAGTTGTTGGACAGATGGTCTCATATTTGACATCCCAGATCATGTGGCTGCAAAACAAGCCCAAATCATCACCCCTCCACCACCGTGCTTGACAGTTGGTATGAGGTGTTTGTTCTGATATGATATGTTTGGTTTTCACCAAATGTGGCGCTTTGCATTATGACCCAATATCTGTGTTTCGCAGGGCCGGATTAACATAGGTGCTGATGGAACTGCAGCTCCAAGCCCATGGAATAGGCGATTTGCTAAAAAATTAAATGTGGGTGGTTCTATTTACATGAGTCGCGTCAGTGGCCCACCCTCTTATTCCACCCACCGAAATCCTGCTTCAGTGGACACTGCTGTTAGGGGATATGGATTTACCTGAAAGATAAAAGTGAGACATTAGCATAGGGTATGTGTTTTCTTGTGAGTTTCCCTCCAGCACCACCTCCACTAAATGCATGATACTTGGGAGGTATAACTGTTTTAGTGTTTTCTGTCAATACGATTCTATAATTAGGCCCATCATAATTGTCAGCACCAGGCCCAATGAGCTCTTAATATGACCCTGGTGTTTTGGTCTTGCCTGTCCAAAGGACATTGTTCCTGAAGTCTTGTAGTTTGTTCAGGTGTATCTTTGCAAACCTAAGCCATGCTGCCAATCTTTTTAGAGAGAAGAGTCTATCTCCTGGCAACCCTTCCAAACAAACCATACTTGTTCAGTCTTTTTCTAAAACTCAATGCCTTCCCCTCACCTCTTCCTGTGCAGAGTTCTAACAGAGTTGCCTCCTACCCTGCCTGCAGGGCCCCTCCCTCCATTCCCAGGATGCCCACAGCGCTCAAGGGAGCTCAGAACAAGCCCAGCAGGTCTAAGGCCCCCAGAAAGCCCTGCTCCAGACTGCAGAAGTGCCTCACAGGATCAAGGTGAGTTTAATACTTTACCTCTCCATGCACACATCTGAGACTGTCTCTTCCTGGCGCTACTTCTTTATGCGTGTCTCACTTTCTAGCTGTCCCTGGCTCTCCTTTCCTTGTGTCACTCTTTGTCTCTCTTTAGATTTCAGGCTGTCTCAGGATCTCCTTTCCTTGTGTCACTCTTTGTCTTTCTCTAGATTTCAGGCTGTCTCAGGATCTCCTTTCCTTGTGTCACTCTCTGTCTCCCCCTCTCTATCTCTCTGTTTCTTTCCATGTCTAGCTCTGTCTTCCTTTTGCTCTGTCTCTGGCTCTCCTTCTCTCTGTGTGCCTCTCTTCTTCCTCTCTATCTCCCTCTCTGTTTATTTGTCTTTGTGGCTGTTTGAGAGGGAAACAATCACACTCAGCCAGCCCTCACACAATCACACTCATCCAACTGCACACATACATGTCAATCACACAAAGAACCACACACATCTCAACTATGTGTATTGCTTAGTGAGGAGCTCAGTCTTCCTGCTCCTCACTACTTCCTCACGCACGCAGTTTAGTGGTACCTCAATGGCGTCATATTCCGGCACCTGGCATCACTACAGGGGGAGCAGTGAGGAGCAGAAAGACTGAGCTCCCTCGCTGCCACCAGTTTACTCTCCCCCCCCGGCCTGGTAAATTTTTAGCAGAGTAGGCACCTGCAATGTTAGGAGAGCAGGTGCCTACTCTGCCTTAGTTAGCATGTCTCAAACTCGCGGCTCGCTGGGTCGCGAAAATATTGATTGTGGGCCGCAAGTTTGACATGCTTGCTCCAGACCATCAAGACCAGACCATCAAACTGCAAAAACTCTGGCTTTTGTAGAGGTGGTCACACTTACTGATGATCAGTTAATCTAGGGCAGGGGTTCCCAATTGGGTTCTCAATTAATTTTTCCAGTGGAACCCTTTGACATAATGCGCTAACAATGTGGAACCCAAAAAGTTTTTGGGCGCCGTAGTACTTATGAGCAGGTGTGTACTTTTGTGTGTACAGTTTGTGATTGTATATTATGTTAGCGTTTTGATATAGGGGTGTGTTTGTATGTAATGTTTGCATTTGCGTGCAGTGGTGTTTGTATGTAATGTTTGCATTTGTGTGCTGGGATGTAGTGTTAGGTTTTAAATGCGGATGCACATTTGTGTGTAGTTTTAGTGTTTGAATGAAGGGTGTGTTTGAGTGTTTGTATATAAATTTGAATCCAGGGGTTTTTGTATGTAATGTGTGTTTACATGTTGTGTTGGTGTTTGCTGGAATGGATGCACATATACATGTTTGATTGCTGAGCTTTATGCACATACGATTGCTGTACTTATGCCACGTACATACATGCACATTCATATACACACTGACATATACACACAGACACAAAGATACACACTGGCAAACACACACAAATACACACAGTGACACATACACTAACCTTGACACACAGATACATACTCTTTGACAGACACACACTCTCACTGACAAACACACTCTTTGACACACACATACAAACACATATACACTCACTGACAAGCACACACACACACTAACTGACAAACACACATACAAACTCCTTAACAGACACACACACAATTTATTTATTTTTTAAAATTTCACTCCACTCAGCCTCCCTACCTTTGGGAGTGCTGGCACGGCGTCTCTATTTCTCTGGGGTCCAGTTGGGCTGCTAGGCTGATGGCTGGCGTGCATTCCCAGAGGTCCAGTGGAGCTGCTGGACTGAGTGGCTGGCGTGTGGGCATACAGGGAGCAGTGATCTTCCTGCTCAGCTCCCTCGCGCGCAACTTAGTAATGCCGGGGCCAGAGTAATGTCATATTCCGAGATCACTGCGGTGCTCGTGAGAGTGCTGAGCAGCGGAGAGTGCACCTTCCCCGCCCGCCTCAATTATCAGCAGCACCTGACCAGGCCAAATCGCGGCGACCATTTTGTTTGCCGAAATTACGGCGGAACCCCATTTGTGTTCTCGCGAAACACCAATTGGGAAACGCTGATCTAGGGCATTTAAATAGCACCTGTATGCTACTCAGCCTCTTAATTCTTATTTAAGCAGTAAGGGTGTACTTAGTTTTCCACAAATGGCTTCTCCATTTTGCCATAAAATATTTTACAAAGTAACAAAAATAATCCATTTATCTTGTAAGTTATAATTTGCTACTTTTTATTGCGAAGCATAGGTATAGAATACTACATTTTGTGATTCTGGGAAACTGAAATTATATGTTTAGCTCCTCACATTTTTCATGCTGCTGGAACTGTTTAAAGGACCACTATATACATACTCGTTTTCCTGGCACTATAGTGCCTTGAGGGTGCCCCCACCCTCAGGGACCCCCTCCCGCCGGGCTCTGGGGAGAGGAACGGGTTAAAATCTTACCTTTCTCCAGCGCCGGGCGGGGAGCTCTCCTCCTCCTCTCCGCCTCTTCGGCTGAATACGCATGCGCGGCAGGAGCTGCGAGCGCATTCAACCAGTCTCACAGGAAAGCATTCGTAATGCTTTCCTATGGACGCTTGCGTCTTCTCACAGTGAGAAGCACTCAAGCGCCTCTAGCGGAGACAGCCACTGGAGGCTGGATTAACCTATTTATAAACATAGCAGTTTCTCTGAAACTGCTATGGTTATAAAAAAATGGGTTAACCCTAGCTGGACCAGGCACCCAGACCACTTCATTAAGCTGAAGTGGTCTGGGTGCCTAGAGTGGTCCTTTAACTTTGGCACCTGACTTTCAGGGCTCATGTGACTTATTCAGCCAATAGGGGGATCCCTGAGCCAGAACTCTCCAGAACAGTGTGAGACATAGGGGGGAAGGACATGCTGCAGCAGTGAAGGTGTGTGAGGCCTAGCTGTGGAACTGAGTGAATCCAGTGTGAGCTGCCAGCTGCACCCTGATCCAGTGACAGAGCTGTGGAGCAGTGTGAATCCAGTGACAGAGCTGTGGAGCAGTGTGAATCCAGTGACAGAACTGGGGAGCAGTGTGAATCCAGTGACAGAGCTGGGGAGCAGTGTGAATCCAGTGACAGAGCTGGGGAGCAGTGTGAATGCAGTGACAGAGCTGTGGAGCAGTGTGAATCCAGTGACAGAGCTGGGGAGCAGTGTGAATCCAGTGACAGAGCTGGGGAGCTGTGTGAATCCAGTGACAGAGCTGGGGAGCAGTGTAAATCCAGTGACAGAGCTGTGGAGCAGTGTGAATCCAGTGACAGAGCTAGGGAGCAGTGTGAATCCAGTGACAGAGCTGTGGAGCAGTGTGAATCCAGTGACAGAGCTGGGGAGCAGTGTGAATCCAGTGACAGAGCTGGGGAGCAGTGTGAATCCAGTGACAGAGCTGGGGAGCAGTGTGAATCCAGTGTGTGGTGCCAGCTGCACCCTAATCCACAGACAGAGCTGTGGAGCAGGATCCAAACACAGCAAATGTCTGACCGATCCTTGAGATTTCCATTAGCTCTGTGTAACTGAATGGTGGTAAGTAATATCGTCTCCCCCTGTCACAGGGCATTCTATCTCTCACACACAGTAATAAAGAGTTACACAGCCCTCCCATGGCACTGCTTTAATCTTGTGGATTACATTAAAAAAACACTCCAGTGCACCAACTGGTACCCATCAGCCATTAGTGTGAAGCCTGAGGGTGGATCTGCAGGGGGTTTGGGAGTGTACTGTGCCTGGATAGACAGATTTTGGCGCTTTACTTGTTGTGGCGAAACCGACCTCGCCACTGGGATCAAGCGATTTGTAAACCCTTTATGGATTAAATATTATCAGTATTTGTTTAAAGACCTACGAGTGCATCCTTTTTTCAATAATACTATTTATAAGCATGGGATTGCACCAGGGCACTTTTATTATTCTTTATAGGAGCAAGGGTGAGTGCCATTAACTGTGATTTATATCTCTCTCTCTCTCTCTCTATATATATATATATATATATATATTTATTTACTTTTTAAATTCTTTATTTTTGATGTGCATAAAATACATCATGGATATTATTCACATAAAAGTAATAGTCAATAAAGTGATATCCGTCATGCAAAACAAAAAAACTGCACTTTTTTTAAAGTAAGAAACAAGATTAGGTTAGATCAATGCATAGAGGTGAGATTCATAGAGCAGTGAGGCATGACATCTGCATTGGGATAGCAAAAGGTATTTCAAGCAAGTTAAACAAATGGATCATTCCCACTAATAAAAGCCACCAGGGCCCCCTACAGGAGGTGCCGAACACAGGACTCATGCTAATTGCATATGTACAGGTTAGCTGATCTGGATGTCCCCTTAGCCCACTCCCTCCGCCAGCTTGGCTAAGCATGAAAGTGATGGCTTCCCAGCACAGTGGTATACCTGGCCCTTTCTGCTCTGCCAGTCTCAGT